TGCAGTGCCACAACGATGCCACCCGAAGGTTGCAGGAACAGCACCTCTATATTCCGCTTGGGAACCCTGCAGCCCAATGGTATCAATGTGGACTTCACAAGCTTCAAAATCTCCCCTCCCCCTACCACATCCCAAAACCAGCCCAGCTTGTTCCCCGCCTCCCTAACCTGTCCTTCCTCCCACCTCAAGCCCCACGCCCATCTCCTACCTACTACCCTCATCCCGCCCCCTTGACCTGTCTGTCCTCCCTGGACTGACCTATCCCCTCCCTCACCCCCCACCTACACTCACCTTTACTGGCTCCATGCCCGCCTTTTTGACCTGTCTGTCTCCTCTCCACCCATCTTCCCCGTCTCTCCCTATTTATTTCAGAACTCCCTTCCCCTCCCCCATTTCTGAAGAAGGGTCTAGGCCCGAAACGTCAACCTTCCTGCTCCTATGATTCTGCTTGGCCTGCTGTGTTCATCTAGCTCTACACCTTGTTATCTCACATAAGTGATCTCATTTACTTTCTGGGTTTTGGTGTATCTTGCTGAAATAACTGCACAGAGGTCAGTATTCCATCACCGAAGTCACTCTTTATTTACTTGTGCACAGTACACTGGCTGTGGCCTGCTAACGTGGACTCAGTCCCTTGACTGAGAAGATTCTAAATTTCCTGTTTATATTGGTCAGCCAGGGCTTCCTGATCGGCCCAGGTTAACAACCCCAGTCAGAATCTCATGGCCGACAAGATCCAGCTGGTTCCAATCAGTACACTTGCAACGTGGTATACTGACCCAAAGCTAATGTATGACTAACCCCAGGTCTTCCCTCCCTTCACTCTAGTGACATCTTAACAATTTGCTTTTGTTCATTTGCAGCATCAGAGTGATTCAAACACTTGTAGGATTAATGTGAATTAACATCTACTGCAGTACTGGCCAAACAGTGTAGATTTAAAGTGGTAAATTGCTAAGTCAGGAATAGCTATCAGAAGTAACAGACCAAACACAGTTTAGTTTCAAAGAAAATAGCACAAACCACAGTAATTACAGAAATTCACCACCAAAGAAAATGCTTTTGTTTTTATAAACCTTCTTTCTATTCACCTACTTGCAGGGGCAGCTGACTCATGAAGAACTTGCTATAGCAGTGGAGATGTTGTCTGCAGTGGCTGCTCTGAATGAAGCGTTGATCATGAATGATGTTCACGCTGTGATACAGCACCTCACCAGCCCTTCTATTGGAGTGAGCAACCTGCACGATGCAAACACACAACGGTATGTTATACTGAATGCTATTTCTGTTGCTGCAATTTCCAAACCCACAGTATGTATCCACAACTCCGCTTTCAACAAGCAACAGGAAAATGAATGGCATGGATGGTAATAAATGGTATGGAATAAAATATGGATATATCAGACAAGACTTTTGAAATAACTGAGTGTGAAGTGCAGGGTAATCTGTTGGAAGGGGAGGCGATGGTCTAATAGCATTATTGCTAAATTATTAATCCAGAGACCCAGGAATACTCTGGGGACCCAGGTTCAAATCCTTCCGTGGTGGAATTTAAATTTAATTTTTAAAAAAATCTGGAGTTAGGAATCTAATTGTGACAAAGTCGGTTGCCAGAAAATTAATCTGACTCACTAATGTCCTTAAATTAAGGAAATTGCTGTCCTTACCTGGTCTGGCCTACATGCAGATCCAATCTACAGAACCATGACTGACTCTTAACTGCCCACTGAGCAACAAATGCTGACCTAGCATGAGCCCCTCATCCCATGAATAAATTAAGAAGAAATTTGGAAGTCCTCTGGAATTCCTAGCATCCTTTTCAATGATACATATTGCGGTATATATTTCTATTATGGACAAATGTCCGCTCCAGTTCAATAACTTCTTGCTGGAACTGGCATTTAAATGTCAGCAAACCTAGATTGTGATTTTGGAAGGCTGTGATATTACAGATAAGCAATAAATCATTTACTAAAGAACAAATCATTTGCTGTACAAGAGTCAAGTTAGATCTTGAGTGCATTTCAATTCTAAAGCATTGTTTTTGAAGCATCTGTTAACAAAGGCTTTCTTTTAATGAAAAATAGAAAGCTTTAGAACTTAAGGTCACTTTAACTTTTTAAGCCTGCCCCCCCTGCGCTGCTGCTTTGCCAGATCAATCCAGAAGCATATCATTGCTACTTGACTAATATTGGCTATAAAAACAGAAAATGCTGGAGAAACCCAGCAGGTCTGGCAGCATTTGTGGAGAGAGAAACGGTTGACATTTTGAATCCGAAATGACGCTTCTTAAGAAGGTGAGGTTTCTCTCTTTATGGATGCTGCCAGACCTGCTGTGGTTCTCCAGCACTTTTTTTTTCTCAGATTTCCAGGATCTGCAGTATTTTGCTTTTTAACTAATATTAACAACCTTTAAACAAAGAAATGGTCTTTGTCTCAGTTCCCGTATTGTGGTTGGTTGGCTCGCTGAGCTGGTTCGTTGTTCCGCAGACGTTTCGTTACCATGCTGGGTAACATCAACAGTGCAGCCTCTGATGAAGCGCCGTTGTGTTTTCCCGCCTGGTTTTTAAACTCTGGAGTCAGTTGATCTGGATTACCTCACTTCCGGTTTTCCTTCGTCGGAGGCTGCACTGATGATGTTACCCAGCAGGGTAACGAAACGTCTGCGAAATAACAAAACAACTCGGCGATCCAACCAACCACAACACCCACAACCCAAGCTACAGATCTACTGCAAAACCTCAGTTCCTGTATTTTGTTAAGTATTCAATGCTGTTGGTCTAAAGCAATTTCCCTGAAACCCTCTCCTCACTTTCTGATTACCTGATTAGGAAAATCGTATTTCCCTGATAGGTATAGTGAAGCCTTTCACCATTTGAAAACAGTACCGATAGAGCTGCTTATAGTATTCTCTATTCCAGTCCAGAGAATAGTCCATATCTGAAATTACTCCTCATAGCTGTAGTTGATCTTCGCTGTGATGTCCTGATGACTTTAGTGGCATTTTCAGAATAAAATTCCCACAAATGCACTGTATAATTAATCAATACTTCTATTTTTAAAATCCAAAATGGTTTTCTGACATTATCCAGCACGACTTGCACTTACACGAAATGTTGTATTTTATCTGTTTCTTGACTGTTCATGTTTACATTGATTGCGTGTTCTCATCCCATGTATTTCATTTCAAAACATAATACTTCCCATGTATTTATGTTAAAGTACATTTAGTGATTCTTGCCAACCTGCTTCCTTACATTCTCAGCCAGTTATAATTGTAATAATTGTGTTTTCTGCTTTGTCCATTTGCATGTAATGAGACTGTATTTCACTTTGGTGTGTGATGGGAAGCAAAATACACAAAAATCTGACATGCCATCTGATCACAGGGTAGAGCTTTAAAAGAAAGGAAAGTTTGTCACCTGTGTAAATTTCAACGTGTCTTCTAATATTTAAAATTTCAGACAATTATAAAGTATATTCTGTGCAGTGAAGTAAATTATTTCTCTTGACAGTACTTGCAAAGAGTCCATCTTATTACCTGGTGCAACTGATAGATTATTCAGTAATTTTATATGTGACACAATTAGGCTCCTTTCCTACCACAGTGAATGTTTGAGAGCTAGGAATAACCAACTTTCATTTGGTCTACTTTGTGTTTGCTGGTTTATTCCTGTATTTAGCATTATTTATCATATTTCTGTGTACTCCAAATGGTTTAGTCTCCTTTGTTCAGACACTGACTGTAATAGTTTTAGTATTTGAGTTGCTGACTTCTTAGGTAGGTAGCTTGTGTATGTGTAAGCAATTATTCTCTCAATTTATGCTTTATAATCCTAGCTTTTGATCTTTTGGACTCCAGTCAGATGAGATTTGTAAAGTACTGTTGTAGTGTGTTTGGCCATTACATGTTTCATTTTAAAGCCCAAATATGGTGTTTTCTGATATCATAGAATCCCTGTAGTGTGGAAACAGGCCCTTCAGCCCAACAAGTCCACACTGACCCTCAGAGCATCCCACCCAGACCCATCCCCCTATAACCCACCTAATCTACACATCCCTGAACACTATGGGCAATTTAGCATGGCCAATTCACCTAGCCTGCGCAGCTTTGTACTGTGGGAGGAAACCGAAGCACCAGGAGGGAATACATGCAGACCTGGGGAGAATGTGCAAACTCCACACAGACAGTTGCCTGAGGGTGGAATCGAGCCGGGTCCCTGGCGCTGTGGGGTAGCAGTGCTAACCACTGAGCCACGGTGCCACCCTTGAATCTCCCAGCTGTTTCTTTCATTGAAATTTGGCCAGTTGCCTCTTGAATTTCCCAACACTAGCTGCTTCCACGGTAAGTCACTCTGGAGATTTGTCACCCTATGAGCAATGATCTGGTCATCTTCCTTGTTTTAAGCTTAGGTTTGTGCATTCAGAACAATAATTGGTGTAAAAATAGCTAATGGTGATAATAAATTCCTTCACTTGAGGTAGTGTCTTTATCATTGGAATATTTTCCAATGTGCTTTGTTGGGTGCCGTACTGAGGTGTGTGTGGGGACATTGGGGAATTGTGCTGGAGTGGTTCTGACAACATGGATAATTTAGAGAAGAAATAATTAAAGATGCAATAGGCGAATCATGGAGGGAGAGATTTGATTTAAAGTTGCAGATAGAAGAGGAGTGGTTGGGATTTCTACAACTGCAACCACACCAATGGTAAGGAGTGAATGGGAGCCCCAAATACCAGAATATGAAAAGGTGATGTGATGGTAATATGGCTGGAGTAGTATTCCAAAGCCCCAGGCTAATGCTAATGGGGGCATGGGTTCAAATCCCAAAGCATCTGGTGGAATTTCAGTTCAATTAATTAAAAACAAAGTAGTCTCAGTAACGGTGACCATGAAACCGTTGTAGATATTTGTACAAACTCATCATACCTTTCTAGGAAGGAAACCTCTTGCCCTGACCTGGCCTGGCATATTTGTGACTCCAGACCCAGAGAAATGGGGTTGACTCTTAACTGTGCTCTGAAAGGGTTTAAAAATTGAAAGAATTGCAGATGCTGTAAATTGGAAACAAAAACAGAAATTGCTGGAATACTCAGCGGGTCTGGCAACGTCTGTGGAGAGAAATCAGTTAATGGTTCAGTGACCCTTCCTCAGAACTGATTTCTCTCCACAGTTGCTGCCAGACCTGAGCATTTCCAGCAATTTCTGAAAGGGTTTAGCAAGCCACTCAGTTGGATCAACTGCTACAGCCTCTGAAAGGAATGAAACCGGCTGGCAGCGTAGGTCTACCCATACCTCATGAACTGCAGTGGTTCAAGAAGGTGGTTCACAATTCCCTTCTTAATTATAATGAAGGATGAACAATAAATGCTGGTCTTGCCATTGATGTCCACTTCCTAAGACTAAATACAAAGCAAATTAAAAATTGTGAAGGATGATAAAGCAGGGAAAATTTGCAGCTATTGAGAAGTAAAGCCTTGTCTTTCTCTTTAATGTTATACAAGGATACTAAATCCATGTGTTGCAGTGCTGTGGGGATGAGTGTGTCATTGTAGGTCAGAGACGATTGGAGTGGAAGCATGCATTGATTTTTGGACCAGTTGCTCTTTTATGAAGAATGGCGCATGGGAGATTAATAAAGAGGATATTTGGAAAACCAAGTCCACTGGTGGCTATAGGATGGGCAGGGTTTCAGCAGTGGAGAGAATGAAAAATGATCAAGTTTCACCCAGTCTGGCTCAGTCAGAGGGAGTAGCTGAGGAGAACAATGGAGTCTGTTAAGAATGGAGTACATTGGAGGCTGAAAATGATACCTTTGTTCCTCTGATAAATAACAGGAAGGTATTTGTGGATGACTCGATTTGGACAGGTATTCTGACCCCAGGCCCATCTTTGTTTTGTCAAGAGAGGTGGAAGATGAGTCGGTCTAGATATCAGCATACACATGGTAGTCTCCAGGTGATGTTACTGAGGGACGGGATGTGGACGAGGACGAGAGGGACCATGGATAAGAGTACTGGGAGTGTCTGGATGTGGCAAATGCATAAACAGAGAGGAAAAAAATGTTTCTGGAAATATGCTCAATGTATGTAGATAGGTAGAAGTGGACCCATCAGGGGAGGTGATCATGGAAGAACGTAATGCTAAACTGATTTTTATTGTTGTCACATGTACCGAGATACAGTGAAAGTGTTTTGCGTGCTATACAGGCAGATTGTACTATCCAAAGTACATCAGGATAGCAGAACAGAGTGCAAAATACAATGTTACAGCTACAGAGAAGGGGCAGAGAGAGAGAGATCTGGATTAACACGAGCTCCACTCAAAAGTCTGAAACAGCAGGGAAGAAGTTGTTCTTGAATCTGTTTGTACTTGTATTCAAACTTTTATACGTTCTGCCCACTGGAAGAGGATGTGAGAGAGTATAACTGGATTGGGAGGGGTCTTTGATTATGTTGGTTGCTTTCCCAAACTAGCAGGAAGTCTACATGGAGTCAGTGGTTGGGAGACTGGTTTGTGTGATGGACTGGGCTGTGTTCACAACTCTAATTTCTTGAGGTCTTGGGAAGGCAGTTGCCATACCATGCTGTGATACACCCAGATAGGATGCTTTCTCTGGTGTACCTATAAAAATTGGTAAGATCCTTGCGGACGTGCCAGATTTCCTTCGCCTCCTGAGGGAGTAGAGGTGCTGTTCTGCTTTCTTGACTGTCACATCAGCATAGTTGGACCAGGACAGGTGGTTGTTGATCATCACTCCCCAGAACTTGACGCTCTGGACCACTTCCAACTCAGCACCATTGATGCAGACAGGGGTGTGCCCTCCACTCTGCTTCCTGAAGTCAATGACCAGCTCTGTCATTTTGCCGACATCTTTCCTATACTCCATCTCGTCATTGTTTGAGATCCGACCTACAACAGTGATGTCATTAGTAAACTTGTAGATGGAGTTGGCCACACAGTTGTGAGTGTATAAGGAGTATAGTAAGGGTCTGAGTACGCAGCCTTGCAAGGCATCGGTGTTGAGGATTGTGATGGAGGAGGTGTTGTCACCTATTCTTGCTGATTCTGGTCTATGGGTCAGGAAGTTGAGGATCCCGTTACAAAGGGGAGCACTGAGACCTAGGTCACAGAGTTTAAAGATGAGTTTGTTTGGAATTATGGTGTTGAAGGTGGAACTGTAGTGAATAAGTTGGAGTTTGACATAGGTATCCTTGTTATTCAGATGTTCCAGGTATAATTGTAGGGCCAGGGAGATGCACCAAGTATTTCAGAGATGTGTAGGGTGACAAGAGGGAATCGTACCTTTTGCCTTAGGAAAGAGGTGATATATGTAATAACATTGAGCAATGTATCTGATTACCCTGTTGCAGTAAAAAATATTAATATTGAATCTTCAAGCTAAAACAATACAGTATAAATTAGAGGAAGTGATAGTTACACTACAATCAATCCACAGATGTTTGTCCAGTTCTGGTCATGGTTCAGGAAGCATTGAAGCCTTTGAGACTATATAGAGGGAAAGGCCAAGTGTCAGAAAATTTAGTTATGACATGTGGTGTTAATAGATCTTTAGCTGGTTGTGTTTCTTTAATGCTGACCACTTTGTAAACCAAACTATACTTTCTATAAACTTGAGTGCATGTTTGTTTTTACAATATCAATGTAAAAATAGTAAACCACAGAGGTCAACTAGTGAGACCTTGTCAATACAATCTGGTTTTTTGGATATACCATAAGCCCTTGTATGTTTTTCTTGATTTTTGCCAGATGGAAGGATAAAATCAATCAGACGATACCTTGAGTTAGAAATTATTTGATTTAATGAGCATTATTAAATGCAAATATTAATTTTAAATGGTTTTAAACTTGTGCTACAGTGAAATATTGGAAGTGATCTTATTCTTTTACTGCAAAACCTTTCTTATATATTTTCTGATCTCTGTACCATTGCATAGTATAGTGAATGCACAACTGTCAGTTCCTTATTTTTTGTGTATCTTGTGGTTATTGAGAGGGAGCTATTTAAAACTATGAGCTAATAAATGACTGATTTCATGTGCAGAACAATACACTGCTGTTAGTTCCTGAAATATTCATCCTAATAAGCTACTTATATTTGATAGGTATCTTGTTTCTAACCTTCGAATATGCTTCACTGCACTTAACACAAGATTAATTCAAAGCACTGTTTCTTCTGTATTGCGTAGTACTACTTACTCTGACTTTACCCATTGTTATAAGCCTCAGAATGATAGAAAACCAATCTTAAACAAGTCATTCAAACAAATTCACTCTTTCAATATTTGTATTAGATGCGTGAACATTGAAAGGACTGGACTTTCTTTGCAGCTTGCTAGGTATAATTCTTGTCTGTGTACTCCTGCCTAAGATGTCAAATACCTAAATTAGCTCAAGTGAACATGGAAAAAAACTCAGTTGTCATCATCTTCAGCCAATTACACACTGCTTCCACCTGTGTCCCGCCTGTTTACTGCTGCAAAATTAAAACTGCCCCTGTAGATAGTCTTACTTTCTACCATTTTTATTAGGTAAACTGTGAAAACTAAATGTGAGTTATTACTGCAAATCTATCCATGACAACAAAACAGGATGCACAAGTTCAATTAGTGAAAAGCAAATTTAAGACTGGTGTGAGAAGCTTCTTTAGAGATCAGCAGATAAATGAACTTTGTGACAAGAGGATTTCCAGAAGGAAAAAGATTTGCAATCAGTTTATGACTGTGATGAGAACTAAAGGCTGGCTCTGGCTGAGTGGACAGTTCAATTTTTCTATAATCTGTACAAAATTATGATGTTTCTAGTTGGTTTTATATTAAAATTAAGGCAAATAAATTGTTTTTGTTCCCTCTAGAATCTGAAAAATATGAGCTTCATGCTTTGTCTTTTTCCTATATCATAAAGAGTATGATTGATTGATTGATTGATTGATTGATGTTTTTTTTTGTCATGTGTGCCAAAATGCAGTGAAAAGCTTTTTTTATGAGCAGTACAGGCAGATCGCAGCAAGCAAAAGATCAAAAAGACTTAGAGTCATACAGGTTACGTGGTGGCACGGTGGCTCAGTGGTTAGCACTGCTGCCTCACAGCGCCAGGGACCCGGGTTCAATTCCAGCCTTGGGCGACTGTCTGTGTGGAGTTTGCACATTCTCCCTGTGTCTGCGTGGGTTTCCTCCAGGTACTCCGGTTTCCTCCCACAGTCCAAAGATGTGCAGGCTAGGTGGATTGGCCATGCTAAATTGCCCGTACTGTTCAGGGATTTGTACATTAGGTGGATTATTGGGGGTTGGGTTTGTGTGGGTGCTCTGAGGGTCGGTGTGGACTTGTTGGGCCGAGGGGCCTGTTTCCGCATTGTAAGGATTCTATGATTGCAGATATGTTATTTGAGGCTAGAGTCCATTTCTTGGACTTTCCCCATTGAGTGGGCATCTCCATATCCTCCCTTAACCTATTGGCATTCTTTCACATGTAATAGTTTGTTTTGGCTTAGATTCAAAGAATGTGCCCATGGATATGTAAGATGAGTTCCTGAGTGGTCTTGCTATCAAACTGTTCAGATTACAAGTTCTCTTTCTCTCAGGTATGCGGATATGCTGGTACTAATGAAGAGGCAAGCTGCAGACCAAGGACTGCAGTACCTCAGCTGGAATGACATTCAAAACTGTATTGGAGAAATCAACTTGCAAGTCCAGGAAGAAAATGAAAGTGAGTTGTGCCTTCCAAAGTTGAGATTTCTTTTTGATTCAATTTGACACATGAAGGCAGTCTATTTTACCTTTTAGAGTGGCTGGACTGTGCAGTAGACCTGATATCGTGGACTGGCTCCAAGTTACTGTGGATCTAGCTGTCCAGCAGATGACAGGAACAGCAGTGTGAGCTGTAATTGTAACTAAATTATTCATGTGCTGCATGCACTGTAGTTTAAGTTAAAAGGAGCCCGCATTACACAAAATCTCACCAAAGCAAATTGTGATATAAAGTGTTTATGAAAAAAAGTCACATTCCATTTAATCCTTTTCCAGAAAATCAAAGGGACAAATTTGAAATCTGAGTTTACCTTTGAACATTAATTCACCACAGGAGTTTAAAATGCTTTGTTAATGTTAAATAAAATTAATATTATTACTTCTATCATCAGAAACTGGACTGTTATAGGATAGTCCATTGTTTTGTACTTCAACTTTCATAAAAAGTAATGGGTATCAAAGGTCGTTATTGAAGAATTGCTCAATAGCATAAACCTAAAGTATAAAGCTTTTAGCTTGATCCCAAATCCTCAGATGAATTAGTTACTTATTCCTATAAATTCCTTCGTATTAGGTAAGAACGTAAGGAGCAGGAGTAGGCCGTCTGGCCCTTTTGAGCCTGCTCCACCATTCAATGGCTGACCTTTTCATGACTTCGGCTCCACTTACTCACCCTTTCACTGTAACCCTTAATTCCTTCACTGTTCAAAAAATTATCCATCTTAGCTTTAAAAAGCACTCAATGAGGAAGCCTCAATTATTTCACTGGGCAAGAAATTCCACAGATTCACAACCCTTTGGTTAAAGAAGTTCCTCCTCAATTCAGTCCTAAATCTGCTCCCTGTAATTTGGAGATTATGCCCTCTTGTTCTAGCTTCACCTACTATCCTCCCTGCTTCTATCTCATCTACTCCCTTCATAAATTTTACACGTTTCTATAAGATCTCCCTCGTTCTCCAAAATTCCAATGAATATAATCTCAGTCTACTCAGCCTTTCCTCATAAGCCAACCCGGTCAACTCTGGAATCAACCTAGTGAATCTCCTCTGTGCTCCCTCCAATGCCAGTACATCCTTTCTCAAGTAAGGAGACCAAAACTGCATGCATTACTCCAGGTGTGACCTCACCAGCACCCGATACAGTTACAACATAACCTCCCTGCTTTTAAACTCAATCCCTCGAGCAGTGAGGGACAAAATTCCATTTGCCCTCTTAATTACCTGTTGTACCTGCAAACAAACCTTCTGCAATTCATGCACAAGGACACCCAGGTCCCTCCACACAGCAGCATGCTGCAATATTTTACTGTTCAAATCATAGTCCTTTTTACTGTTATTCCTACCAAAATGGATGACTTCACATTTATCAAATTTGTACTCCATCTGCCAGACCTTTGCCCAATCAGTTAAACTTTCTATACCCCTCTGCACACTTTGCTCTACCACTCCTCATCTTAGTGTCATCCGCAAACTTTGACACATCACACGTGATCCCCAACTCCATAACATCTACATAAATTGTAAACAACTGTAGTCCCAATACTGATTCCTGAGGCACACCACTAGTAACTGATCACCAACCAGAAAAGCAGTCATTTATCCCCATTCTTTGCTTCCTGTTAGTTACCCAATCCTCGATCCATGCTCATACATTACCTGTAATGCCATGCACCTTTATCTTATGCAGCAGCTTTTTGTGGGGCACCTTGTCAAATGCTTTTTAGAAGTCTGAATATACCATATCTACTGGGTCCCCATTGTCTACCGCACTCATGTCTTCATTGAATTCCAGCAAACATGACCTGCCCTTCATGAACCCATGCTGCATTTGCGGAATGGAACAACTTCTATCTAGATGTCTTGCTATTTCTTCCTTGATGCTAGATTCAAGCGTTTTCCCCACTACAGAAGTTAGGCTAACCAGCCTACAATTCCCTATCCTTTTCCTACCTCGTTTTTTAAACAGTGGTGTCACATTGGGGCAGTTCTAGCAAATTGGAAAACAGCAAGAGTCATGAATTTTGGAAAATTACCAAAAGCACATTTGCTATTTCTCTGCCATCTCTTTTAGTACCCTGGGATGCATTCCAAGAGGGCCAGGAGACTTATCTACCTTTAGCTCCATTAGCTTTTGTGATAATGATCATTCCTAGGTCCTCACCTACCTTGGTCTCCTTGTCATCAGTTTAGTGGCATGTTGTTCATGTTCTCCACTATGAAGACCAACACAAAATACCTGTTCAATGGCTCGGCTATTTCCTCATTTCCTATAATTAAATTCCTCTTCTCATCCTCGAGATGTAAGATAAGTACTAATGTTAAAATGGCCTGTATAACTGAGGTGGAACGAAAATTTATAAACTGCAAAAAAGGCTTGTAACATACTAAAAATTTATTAACATGGAAAAGAGAAAATGCAGTTTAATTTTTCAAACCATCATCCTTGCCGTAGTTTATTTTTACTTACCATGAAGTTACATGTAATGATCTCTTCACCAAAGGACTAATTGTTACATCCTCATTGCAAGGTTATCTATTCTGAATTTGTACACTAGTGACCAGGTGTGAAGGGATGAACCTGCTAAATCTCCTTTGTTGGCTACAACAAATGTTGATGAGATTTTTGTAGAAGGTTACATCTCTCTCTGATTAAAAAATGTCATTAATATGTTTTGCTGTGAGCGATAGGGAGCCAAAGATTTCTTCAGTTAAAGAAAGAGCAAATTTATTACCTGTTAAACCAGGCAATGTAGTAAAAATATGACGTCAAGAGTAAGGCCTTTGCATAGTCACTTGGGATTGCATGTGCTCCCACACAGAAACACACTAACTTCAAGACAAATACTGTCCAATACAAAGGAAGATAAAATGTTGTATGGTATTGAGCCCTCTGCTTGACTTTGAGGCATAAGGATTTGTTTTAATCTGAGACTGATGTTTATCTGATTTCTTGGATGCAGTTATTCAGCGCAAATGTTGCAGTTATTGAAAAGATCTAGGTCAGCAGCTGATTTATTCTTAGGGATGATAACCCTCTGCTAAATTGGGCACCATTTCGAAGGAGTGAGAGAGTCCTTATTCTTAATGTATTACAATTTCCAGGACCCATGTTTCTGGATCTCTGTCTTTATAGCAAAAACCACTGGTTTATAATCATGGTATTACGCGGGAGGTGGTTTTGGTCAGTTTAAACTGTCCATTGGCCTTCAATGAGAGCAATCCATTTTTACAACAAGTTTCGATGGTCTACCGACAGAGCCCCTCCCCCATGATCCTTTGCCATAGATAGGGAGTGTTTTTTTTCAATTTTCCTTTTTATATTAAGTTTCAGAATTAAACCTTTATTCTAGCAATAGCCTATAGTCAAGATATTTCATCACTAGAACCATTTGGAGAACATGAGCTGTGCATTCCAGTTGATGAATGTTGAAGTCCAGTTAATTACCACTAGGCTAGTTTTTTTTTCAGGATGTTACTCTCAGCCATGTTATTTAGAAATTCCTTCGCAGATTCCTGTCAGCTTGGCTACTGCCATGTCTCATGACTTTGGCCATTTTAAAGTGTCCCAGCTCATTTTCAATCAGACTTCAATCAAATTGAAATCTAAAGGCTTTAAGTTAATTGGTGAAATTTCAAAGCTTGATCATCCATTTTTATGTCAAGTTAATACATACCATCCCAAATTCATATTTGTTAATGAATGGCTTCAGCATATATTCAGATGATTCTAAATTTATGATTCAAAACCTATATTGGAAGGGGCTATACAAATACTAAATTTATATTTTGTAGTGTACTCTTTTTAATTCCATTATTCTCTGCACGATGAGTAATTTTTCCACCTTATTGTCGGTATGTTTTTGAAGATTATTCTCTTCAAAAGTTACCAATTTTCTCTCCTCTTTCAACTCTGACTTTTAGGAACATGGTTCTTTGGCTGTTGATGCTGTGTTCATTTCCCCCTCGCCTGGTCCTTTTTATTTTAGTGAAAAGCTGCATAAGTTTTTTTGGTGATCCAGTTGAACAGAAGGTGCAAAGCAATATCCTTTGTTTGCACAATCTGTGCCCTTTTTTTTAAGAATGTGTTGTGGTTAGGTGTAGGAATACTTAGCTCCTATCTCTCTGTTTCGGGACTTCAAGGTTATATTGCAATGCTGTTTTATCTCACTGGCTGAGAGTGGCTAACTGTGAAATGAATCTTTTGAGCTTCCAGTTTTGTGACTTAATATGCTAACTTCACTAACTGTTATATCTATTGCTTTACTGGTGCAGATTTTAGTTGTATACTGTAATGGGTTTAAATATATTCCCAGGACCAAATAATACCATAATTTGCAATAGTTAATTCAGTACTCAGTAGAATTAGTGGGGTTTGAACTTGATTTTTTTTAGCAATGACACACATCACAATATAATATCGCCATTTAATACTGTTACTTATTTTTTGTAAGATTGTATTTCTCTTGGTGTTCCTACTACAGAGATCATTGCAGCTGGCCTTATCAATGAGATAATAGATAAAAAAGATCCTCATAAAACACTGGAAGCATTACTGATGCCGACTGCTAAATTACAGGGCGTGAAATCCTCAATAGCATGTCATTATCAAGATGTTCTATGGCACACTAAGCAACAGAAGTGCAAGGTGAGCCTTTACAAAATGGCTTCTTATTTTGTTCTATTTTACTTGTTTATAAAATCTTTCTGCTGTAATTGCAAATGGAACAGAGAAAATACTTGAGAGGTCAATGCGGTCACCTTCAGCCCTAAACTTTACATGGAATGCTGGTGGTTGTGTTTTAAGACCAAGAAAATGCCTTGTTTAGTGGTGGGAATTTTCCAATACTTCCAAGGACCCATTTTATGAACTCTCTTATTCAGTCTTAGGCTATCTCAAAAGTGGGAGTCATTAGCTCAGTTGGCTGGTTTGCAATGTAGTGATTCTAACAGTGTGGGTTCAATTCCTGCACCAGTTGAGGTCAGCGTCAAGCATTCTCCTTCTCAATCTCTCCCCTTGCTGTAGGTGTGATGACCCTGGGATATGGGCCAAGCACAGGCAGGTGGGACTGGTTTAGTTTGGGATTATGGTCAGCATGGACTGGTTGGACCGAAGGGTCTGTTTTCGTACTGTATGACTCTGATTCTATAACTAGAATTCTACCAATGGTGAAGAATTTCAGTTAAGTGGAGGGTCTGAAAGAACTGGGGATATTTTTGATAGATCAGACAAGGTTGAAGGCATTAATTGAGTGAAAAAGAATAAATTGCTTCCATGAGCAAAATGATCAGCAGCATGAAGGCATAGTCTTAATTTAATTGACAAAGGAATGGCAAGTAACATGGAGAAAACCATTTGTATACTCATCGAGTCTTATGAGTTAGAATGGATACTGGAAATGGTGATGGGAGTGAATTTAATGTTATTGTGCAAAAAAAATTGGAAAGGGCAGTCAAAGGCTAAAAAATTAAGAGGTCTGTGGGAAATAAGCATCCATGATGTGGAGATGCCAGTGCTGGACTGGGGCAGACAAGGTCAGAACTCACACTACACCAAGGTATAATCCAACAGGTTTATTGGAAATGACTTCTGGGAATAAGGATTGGGGAATGGGACTAATTAGGTAGCTCTTTGATAGAGTCATCACAGACATGATGGACCAAATGACAACTTTCTATTCTATATCTTTTTCTGGTTTATTTTTATTAATAGAAATCACCAGTTGTGAAAGCAGCTACATCTTTTTGTGCAGACAGTAAATTAAGTCAGTATTAATTGCTTGCATCTTGAGATTCCCTTCTGAGTGTAGTTCTGGGGTAGACTAACTGGGCAGAATGGTTGCCTTCTATTGTGAACAAATGATTCTGCAAATAAAGATGATATTTCCTTTAGGATTCAAGCCCTTGCTCCATCTGTAAAAGCATATTGACCCAGAATTTGTTGTGATAAGAATGGCAAAGCTGGTGAGCTCTGCTTGCCGTTTTTACTAAAACATGCGCAACTTTCCTCCCTCATTAAACCTGTAAATCAGGACTTGCTATCCTACGATATCCTGCTCCTCCAGAAGGTGTGCTATTATATTCTTCACAGATGAAATTGTCATAGAAATCATTATTAAAGTGCATTCTTTATCAAAATATCTACTAATATCACCATAAAGACCAACAGAAAAACCTATGCCTTGATAAAGAGGAGTAATTGATTTTTTTTAATGCCATAATTTTTGCTGAGCCACCTCTCTGGCCTGATAAAATCATTTCAAAATTATGGAAGCTTCTTTTCTTAGCACTGAGATTTTGTTGGACTTTGCACAGTCATTAAGAAGTGTTATTTATTTAAGTACCAGCAGAGGTCACAATACAACCAGTAGAACTTTCCCGATTTTCTGAAGAAGGGTCCTGACCTGAAACGTCAGCTTTCCTGCTCCTCTGGTGTTGCCTGGCCTGCTGTATTCCTCCAGCTCCACACCGTATTATCTCTGACTCCAGCATCTGCAGATCTTGCTATCTCTGAATTCTGCCATGTGCTTTGTAATCTCTTGTTATATAAGAATGAGCTCTCATGTTGCCATTACTGTTTCCCTGTCTCCTTTTCATGAATTGCACTTTTCACCGCTTTAAATCTGAAGAAGTTTGTCGAGATGTGACGGCTTGGTAGAGTTGATAGCACTGTTGCCTTTGAGCTACATGCTGGGGGCTGTGCTATGCTGTGTCATTCTCTCTACCCACTTCCCAAAACAACTCAGTTAGGTTTTGATACGTACTTTGGATCAATGCAGTGGTACAGCTTGCAGTGGATGATCTGTATCACCCTATGTAGCTTATTTAAAACACAGCTAATAAAAGTCCCAGTGAAAATGGAAAAGGAACTCCTGAAATCCAAAATACAGTCCCTGAGAATTGAAAAATAACCCCCGAGGAAACCTCTAACAGGGATGGTGGTGGGTATTGAACTCTATGACACTGTTATGCCAATGTTTTCACCCTTTAAATGACTCTTAAATGTTACTTTTCCTTATTGTGAAAATCCTCATTTGCAGAGAGTTTATTATTCAGATTTATAGAATTTCCATATAGTATTTCCACACAAACATGGAATTTACAGTACAGAAGGAGGCCTTTCAACCCATTATGTCTTTACTGGCTCCCAAAAGAGCTACTCAGCTAGTCCTATTCTCCAGCCCTATCTCGACAGCCTTGTAAGTTCAAATTTTGAAATCTCCAATGAAATCTGCATCCACTACTGTCATTGTTTCATTTTCCCAGTTAATTATTCATAAAACCTCTGCAGGTTGAGGTTTTTTGTGAATTTTGCTCATTTTTCTAGTTTTATGCATTGATTTGGTTGTATTTGAATGTAAAATTCTGATCTGTATCTGCATACTTAAATTGAAGGCGTCTCAGGATGATTCAGCTGTATTGTGGTTGGACGAGATACAGGAAGCGATCATTTCTGCAAATAAGGATACTGATGATGCTCATTGCTGTAAGTATAAGATAATGTATTTAAATTAAGCACAACCTAATTTTTCTAAAAACAGTATCATATTTTATTTACAGCAAGAATAAACTGGTCTGACAATGTTGCTGCAGTTTTCGACGTGTAGCCAGAAGACCAGTGTTCAAATTTAATCTTGACATATTTTCTAAAGTGTCTTTCATAGTTCGGGTTTGTTGGATTCCCGCAAAGTAGAGTGAAGAACTTATTAATAGAGAACAAAAATGGACTTAGTTCCTTTTTCACACAGTATAATAACATCTTTGACAGGAACTCAAGGTCTGTGCATTGTGCAAGGAGAATATTTTCCAGTTGATAAGGTGTAATTAATTATATATAGTTATAGTTAATGGAAAATTTGGGGAAGGTTGCAAAATCAGAGATTAAGCTAGCATTACATGCTTGTCTTGCATGTACTGACCTAACCAATAGGGAAAATTGCAACGAAGACACTGGAATGTTCCACTCCTTGGTCCTTTCGGACATGAGGACTTCAAGCATGTGATTTCAGAGCATGCTTTGACGGCACATTGATGAGCTGATGTGCACTTTGCTAATCAATGTGGTTTGAGGGGTTGTGTGTATTAACACGACTTACTTAATAATATCCTTGACACCAGTGGACTCTCGGGTGGCATGGTAGGCAGCCAGTCTCACTAATGTAGCCAAACAAAGAACTGAAATACACTGAGACACAAATGATTGAGAAATGGCCAAATTATCACCCATTTCCCTTCATTTTGTTTTATAAAAGAAACTTGACACTCCACAAACATGGAGAGCTTTTCTCTTGATCAGTAAGGCTGCACAGCAGTATTTAGGACTTTGTCTATCATTTTAAAACTCAGTTACATCTTATTCAACAGGGTACATGTTTTCAAGGATTTTGCAGCAAGTAAAATAGTGTAAAATGGCAAGTTTTACTTGAAATTAATGTGGTACATTCTGTGGGGCAGTATAGAATCAGTGGAAGCTTTTAGATTTCAATGTTAGACGCCAGGCTTTTTTTAAACTCATTGGCAGACGTGGGTGTTGCTGGCAGGCCAGCGTTAATTGCTCATCCCTACTGGCCCTTGAGAAGGTTATAGTGCCTTCTTGAACTGCTGCAGTCTGTGTGCTGTAGGTAGACCCACAATGTCCTTGGGAGGCAGTGGATGTGATGTCAATCAAGAGACTGCTTTATCCTGGATGGTGTCAAGCTTCTTGAGTGTTGTTGGAGCTGCACTCATCCAGGCAAGTGGGGAGTATTCGATCACACTCCTGACTTGTGCCTTATAGATGGTGGACTGACTTCAGGGAGTCGGGTGAGTTACTTCGCTGCAGTGTTCCTAGTCTCTGACCTGCTCTTGGAGCCACTGTTTGTGTGGTGAATCCAGTTGTATTTCTGGTCAATGTTAACTCCCAGCATGATAGTGGGAGATTCAGTGATGGTAACACTATTGAATGTCAAGGGACAGTGGTTAGATTGTCTCTTATTGGTGATGATCATTGCCTGGCATTTGTATGGTGTGACTGCAAACTCCAGAAATTGTTGCTGTGAATCGTTGCTAATAGTTCCTCTATCATTAATTCTTCAAAATTTGGCTAATAAAAAGAAACAAATGCTCCGAATTTTTATTTTGAGATATAAACATATCTAATGCACCCTCTGACCTTTATTTCTCTTTCAGTGGCTGTTGCAATATCTAAGATTAACTCTGCAATTGAGATGGGTGATCCACAGCTAACATTGACTACAATACAGTCTTCCAACATAACCGCGAGAGGGCTTGTACCAGAATGTGCTGATACCTATCAGAATGAACTCTCTGAAGCAAAAAGGAAAAAGACTGGAGATGGTATAAAACACGAGGGATATGTAGCAATTTTCTGTAGTATTAGCATCAGCATCCTTGGGGCAGACTAACAGATAAATTAACCAGTCAGCACAGAATGTTAAAAGATGTCTTGGTTTGTTTCAGTAATGCACTATTCTCTAGTTCTGTTCGGCCTTTGTACTGGAAGTTGCATAAGTGTGCCCATTTTCCCTGTGTCTAAATGTTAGGGATTCATTTGGTGCCTATTACAAATGATTAGATTAAGTTTAGCTCTTGTGTCATGAGTGATAGATAAGATGCTATGTTCTTCATTGATGTTCCAAAACATGTAAAACCTAAAACCCAGATTTAATCAGTAGTTTCACTGGTAGAATATTTCTTTATTTTCAATTGAGAAGAAGATTTTAATACTAATGCAGGTTTGGTTATGAATCCAGCGCAAGAATTTTGGTGCCGACCTGCAGGTACATTCTCATTCTGTCATCTCTGCACTGACAGTGAGACCAGTGCAAAAGCTGTAATGGATTTTCCATAAAATGAAGAATCAACACAACATTTCAAGAATGAATCTGCATTGCAGTAAATGTAGCTGACTTCACTCTTGTTTAATTCTCAGCATAAACTAAAGCTGTCACTGATTTTTACATACAAATGGTGTTCTTGAATTTTCCAAAGTGGTAAACATTATTATGCATAATGCATAATTATGCATTATTATGCTTATTTATTCAAGTTGGTATACATATGGCATCTCCCTCTTGTTGGCATGAATGATAAATGCTGTTTGCCAGTGAAGCCTGTTTAACCAGGGCTCCTTTCTGCCGCACAATCTTGAATGCTGCCTCAACAGCAAGTTTACTCCAACCTCACCTCTAATATTCAACTCTTCCAACTATGTCTCAATCAAGGTGACATTGAGGTCTGTAGGTAAGTGATGTGTTTTCAAAACTGTGCTTAGTTCACAGCTCTTCAGCAGAGCCCATAGTACATTGATAGCAATTAGGTGCACAGGTAGGCCTTAGTGCCCTTCAAGTGTGCTCCACACTTCAATAAGATCATAGCTAATTTGTTTTGTTCTGACTTTCACATTCCAATCTATCCCCAGTACTCTGATTCCCTTTTCTAACAGGGATATATCGCTCTCCACCATTTAGAAAGATTTGATAACACTGCCTCCACCACCTTCTATGACAGAGAGTCCCAAAGCTGCCCAGGGATCTGAGAGAAAAAAAAATCTCCTCAATCTCTTTGCTAAAAAGGTGACTGCTCATTTTCAAACAATGGCCCCAATTCTGCACTCACCCACGAGAGTAAATGTCCTTTCCACGTCCACCTTATCAAGACCATTTAAGGTTTTATAAAGTTCAGTCATATCGCCCCTCATTCTCCTAAATGCCAGTGAAAATAAGCCCAGTTTGACCAGCATTTACTAATGAAACAAACACCTATTCCAGTAAACCACCTGTGAACTGCTTCCATTGTATTGACATGCGAATTCAATGCACTGAACTCCTACACCACCTGACCTTTGCACCTAGATGGTAGAAATCTCTGCAGGAGGTGGATTAGATAATTCAGTCAGCACTTGTGACTGAAAACATCGGCAAAAGATCAGCCATGGTTTTTGCTCCCGCATGTTAATCTCTATCACTGTTGAGAATGAGCATTTCTAACTTTGCCCAACTTTGTTTATCTAGTTCTCAACCAGCATTCATTGGTTAAGGTAGAAGCAGACAGCTTTGTTGTGATACGTTGGTTGAAGGACCACTTGCTTAGCTGTCAACTGCTCTTTTTGGTGTTTAGGCATTTAGTGCATCAGTTCATAACATGATGCTTCATTGTAAGGTATACCTGGTAAAGTTCTTGTGAATATATTCCAAGTTCTAGAGGTAGGTTTGTGAATTCAGCAGTTTGACACAACATTGAATGTGCAACTAGATTTCTGTTGCAAGGTATATTGGTGACAAGGAGGTACATTTAAAACAAATATGACTATGAATTAACAAAATTGAATGGCGAGATAAATCAGATTTTGAAATTCTTTTGAAGATGAAGTCCTTCGGAAATAGTATTTAACCCTTGAAGAAAATCAGAAAGCGGTCTTTCGGTTTAAATCTTATTTGTTTTGTTTAATTTTTAAGACAACAGTTCCTTTTACTGGACCTAAAGAAAAAAATAGAAATATATGATTTTAGAAAGTTTTGCAGCACGAAACTTCATTGAAGTGGTTAATTTATAGATTGCGTTCAGTTATTACTTTGAATAGAGTTGACTGGATAAAGGACTTGTAGCTGCAAGGAACTAATCATTGCGACCTGTCAGAGATTAGTGTGCATTACACACTTCGTTAGACCCAAGTTCAGATTCCTACAGTGTTACCGTTTCCAACCCCACCCCTAATAGTAACGTGCTGGTTTGAATAGCAACATTAAATTCCTTTCTTTTTGTATTATTTTTATAGAACCAAATGGAAGTGTGTGGGTTATGCACAAGATAAAAGACAAATATGCATACTACTACAACCTGGAAACTACAGACGGCACATGGGACAAACCAGAAAATTTTGTTCAGAACAGTACTCAGCTCAATAGAGAAGAAATTCAGGTACTGTCAGTAACCTGTGGATACATTCATATAGTGTGTTGTATATGCTTTTGTATGTTCTCTCCTCGTATGAATGTTTATGGGTAAGGTCACTGATTTGCTTCCTCCATGAAAAGGCCCCAATCCAATCTTCCAAAGGACAAAAAAACTTTTATTCAATTAATTTCAGCTACCAATGGACAGAATTCTCAAAAGTAATCTTTAAAATCCTGGTTTAAAAGTTGAATCCTATGTAATAAGCAGAATTTTAATCATTGGGTTGATGTAGAAAAATGGTTTGTTTGTGGATGTATTTAGTCGCATTCTCGTCTTTGTGCATCAATCACAAAAAGCTAACACACAAGTTTAGCAGGTAATAGATAAGCAAATGGAATGTTGGCCTATAATTAAAAGGGAATAGAGTCTAAAAATAAGAAGGTCTTGCTACAGCCATAGAAGGCTCTAGTCAGACCACAGCTTGAATACTATGAACAGTTCTGGGCCCGTTATCTAAGGAAAGATATAGTGGCACTGGACATGTCTCGGAGAGTGTTTACTCAGCTGGTCCCAGATCCCATGGAGGAGCAGTTGAGTAGGTTGGGTCTGTACTCAATGGAATTTAAATGGATGAGAGTAGCAAACTTATTGAAACATTCGAGGTTCTTAAGGGACTTGACAGGGTTAGTGTGGAGAGGTTGTCTTCCACCCCCCCCCTCCCCCTAACCCCGCGGGAGACGCTGGAATCAGAGGCCTTATTCCCAGAATAAGGAGTTTCCCATTTAAGACAGCTGAGCAATTTCTCCTCTGAGAGCAATGAATCTGTGGAACTCTTTACCACAGAGGCCCACTGAGGCTGGATCATTAAGTTTATTCAAGGCTGGGATAGATTGATTTTTAGTCAGTTAGGGAATCACAGGTTGTGGCAAAAAGACAGGAAGTGGATTTAACGATTATCAGATCAGCCATGATCTTGTTGAATGGTGGGGAAAACCCAACAGCCAGAATGGCCTACATCTACCACTACATTTGATCATTCAGCAGTCCATGACGTGATTTACATTTGCACCTTTTACTGCCTCTCTCCCAGTGACTTGCTAATGATGTGTCACTCGTTCAAACAGTCATAAACTCAGTACAACTGAGATCCAACTAGTAAAGCATTTCCATGTGACAGTAATTGATAGCAAGGAAAGGGGAAAGTTAAACTGTATTAAACTCTAAATGATTTATTGTGTGGTAACTGATTCACAAAGTTTAATAGTTCTGAGGGGGAGTCATACTGGACTCAAAACATTAACTCTATTGAGAAGGGAAGTTAGACGGCACATTTTACTGTCTGTATCCCTTTGTTAGAGCTCACAGAATTGCAATATGAACCAAAAATTCTCCCTGGAGACACTCTGATCTGTTGTGTTTTCAAGTAATGAAGCTGTTTGTGTTTCACAATCTGATGTTCTTGTAAGGAAACATATGTCTAATGTACTACAGTGAGGTAGAAATTTGGGTTTGCAGAATGAAGAATGCGTGACGTTTGTGTCATTGCATTTCTAGTTTTATTTTTGTCTCCCCATGTGCTGTATGTTGATGTAAATGCTACATTTTTTCCATGAAAGCCATGTTTGTTTTAACTTGTATGTTTATGTAATCCTCTAGACACGTAATTTTGGATTAAATTACACAAGCCCACTGTGGAAGGCGCGGGGGGAGGTGAGGGGATATACTTTTTGTAGCCGATGTCTGTGGGTACATGATGTTCAGCCTTGTTTAGACAGCATGGTTTATGGAACTGATAGTTTAGTAGCTGTCTCATTCCCACGTCTGACGTCTGTGAGGAAACATTTTCAGAATGTTTCTCCCTCAATGGAACATAGAATCTGCCATGTTGATTCCCCAAAATCCTAGTTTCACCATTAGTGCCGCATGTATGTCAGTATTATTTTGGTTTGTTGTGGCTACTTTGGGTGAGACTGACTTCTCATGTCTGTAGTTGGCATCTGATGTGGTCTTCAGTCAATGAGATATTACTAGAATTTTCACTTTTAGCTGAGCACTGAAGTGTCAAGTCATAATCTTTTGAAATTTGACTGAGGGTGTGATCACTGTCAAGTACTCTTTACCTTTAATTTGGAATGTTTGTCTGCCATCTATTTTATCCCTTTGTTGCACTAAGATTGAAGAGCATACGATCTGGCGCACCTTACAAATGAGCATTCAACTTGAGCTGTGCCATGTTAAAAAACGCATCCAACATATGTCATCTGCAAACACGATTTACTCTCAATCAAAATTATTGCTCAAAGAAGGGATTTTGTCAAAGTGTTTTGGCTTCAGCGGCATTATCGTCCTTGAATCTCCCACTATCACCATCCTGGAGGTTACCCGTGACCAGAAACTGAACTGCACCAGTCCTATAAATACTATGACTACAAGAGCAGGTCAGACTAGCAACATTGCAATCAACAGAGGCTGTTGACTCCCCAGAACTTGTTGGCTATCTACAAGGCACAACTCAGGAGAGTGATGGAATACCCCTACCCCCAACTTTTCTGACTAAGTGTGGCTCCAACGACACGCATGAAGTTTGATACCATTCAGGACAAAGCAGCCTACTGGATTGGCACCCCACCTGACACTTTCAACATTCACTCCCTCCCCCACAGATATACTGTCATAGCTGTGTATACCATCTATAAGATGCACTGCAGCAACTCAATGAAACTTCTTGGCACCTTCCAACTCTACCCCTAGAAAGACCAGGGCAACGGATTTGTCAGAAATTTCGCAGACACCGTCCTCACTTAGAAATATATCACTGTTCTTTCACTGCTGCTCGGTCAAAATCTTGGAACCCCCTTCCTAACAGCGATGTGAGTGCACAATACCATGTGGATGCAGTGTTTCAAGGAGACCGTTCACCTACTCAAGGATGCGATTTGGGCTAGGCAGCAAAAGATGGCCTACCTGGTGACACGCATGTCCTGAATAAATAATTAGAAATTAAACTCTGATATTGTCTTCAAAATTTCAGTCAAGTTAATATGGGGGAGGAGTGTAGTTACCTCAGTTGGTTGAACTGTTGGTTTGTGATACAGGGCGATGCTAACAATGTGGATTCAATTTCGCACTGACTGAAGTTACCATAAGGATTTCTCCTTCAGCACCTCTCTCCTCACCTGAGATGTGGTGGCCCTCAGACTGAACCAGTACCAGAATGCTAATCGTGGACTGTTTATCATTTATTTCTATGTTTGGGCATTTGTTTCATTAACCATGAATCCATTGCAATGTTGTTTTCTGTTGCTAACTATTTCCTTATGTTGATGACTAAATATGGACAGAGTTATTTCTACTCTTAGATACATTTCAAAAACAAAATTGTTCCCAGAATGTATTAAATGAGTCGTAGTTGATTGATTTACCGTGTGGTTTTTGGCAGAAATTTATCAGGCAGTGGAGGAGAGTCCCACCATTATGGCTTCTTTGTTATACAGCCTTGTCAACCACATGCAATTAAATACAATACAAAGCAAGGTCGCTTAGTTTAGAGAAGTAGCTTATTTCTGGTGATTTCTCTTGCAATATGCTCCTGTTTTCAGGAAATTCAATGAATATTCTCAAAAGCAATTTCTTACCATGCCCCATCCTCTTAAACTGCAACATTAAGTCATAGTATCAGTACGGCACAGGAGGAGGTCATTTGGTTGAGTGAGGCTATGCAGACTTCCTGCAGAGCACTCCAGTCAGCCTTATTCTCCTGTTGTATCTCTGTAATTGTACAAGTTATTTCCCACAAGTTCCGATCTAATTTCTCCTTAAAATTATTTATCTTTACTATCCACTGTAGTTGGAAGCAGCTAGTTCCAAGCCTTTACCGCATGTTGCATAAAGAATTTCTTCCTTGTATCGTGCTTGCATCTCTTGCCTAAAACCTTAAATTTGATTCCTAACTTTTTTATATAAAGCGGAAAATATTTGCAGAATTAAAGACACACAATCTAACCCTCCCAAAGTAAAATGTTAATTAATTGAACTCTAGGTTTTTCTTCAAGAAAGTAAACATATGGGTTTTTACTGGCTCATGGGCAGAGGACTCCTCAGCACAGGATGATCCAAATGTTAATCTTAAAAAAAAAAAGCCTTTTAAAACAAGTACCTTCCATTATTTCTTTATATCTTTCAGCAAGTGCTGTGCTTTACATTCCAGTTAACACAGCCGCAACCTTTCAAGTGTAGGGTCAAGTCCCAGGCCAACAAGCTGCATACATGGCCTTATATTCATACACACAAGCAAGGAGCCATGTGGCCCCTCCAGCATGTTCTGGTTTCAATAAGATTGTGGCTGATCAATTTGTAATGACAAATCCACATTCCTGTCTACCCTGCTGGCTAGCAAGAACTGAAGATGCTGGAGTCTGAGATGACTCAGCTTGGAGCTGGAGGAACACAGCTAGCCAGGCAGCATCAGAGGGGCAGGAAAGTTGACGTTTTGGGTCGGGATCCTTCTTCAGAAAAAAGATCCCGACCCAAAAAGTCAACTTTCCTGCTCCTCTGCTGCTGCCTGGTCTGCTGTGTTCCTCCAGCTCCATACTGTGTCTACTCAGATAAGTTTTCACTCCCTGGCTGAACAAGAATCTGCCCATTTCTGCCTTAAGCATATTCAAAGACTCTGCTTTTGCTGCCTTTTCAGGAAGCAAGTTGCAAAAACTTATGGCCTTCCGAGAGGCACAAAATTCACTTCCATTTTAAACAAATGACCCCTCATTCTAGATTCTGCTGTAAGTGGAAATATCCGCTCCACAACCAACCTGTCAACACCCCTCAGGATCTTAAATGTTTCAATCAAGCCTTTGCCTCTAATGTCATAAAAGCAGAAAGTGCTGGTGGCATCTGTTAATGTTTTGAGTCCAATGTGATTCTTCTTTGTAACTGAAAGGGGTTGAAAAAGTGGTTTTTATGATTTATGCAGTAGATGAAGGGGAGAGGTGAAGTAGGTGGAACAGATTGTAAGGGCAAAAGGCACAGATTACTAATGGTAGTAGAGAAACAATGTAGATTGAGTGTGTTAGTGTTAACAGGAGAACTAGCTCTACTGAGAGCAAACCCAAACAGGACACTTTGGTGGGGGAGGCGGTGTTATTAAAATGGAGGACGGAGATTGTGGAGTATCAGCGTTTAGTTTTGGCCCCCTTACTTGAGGAGGGATTTAATTGCATTGGAGGTAGTTCAGAGAAGGTTCACTAGATTAGTTCTAGAGACAGAAGGTTTGTTTATGAGGAGCAATTGAGCGGTTTAGGCCTATGCTTGCTGGAGTTTGGAAGAATGAGAGGAGATTTAATTGAGGTATATAAGATGCTAAAGGGGATTGACGAAGTCAATGCAGAGTGAATGATTCCCCTTGTGGGACAATCCAGAACAAGAAGTCTCATAATTTTAGTTTGAGAAATGGCAGATTCGAGACACAGATGAGGAGGAGGAACTTCTCTCAAAGGGTTGTGAATCTGTCGAACTCTCTATTGCCGAGTGTGGGGGAGTGAATAAATTGGAGTTGAGGCCGAGATGAGATCAGGTATGATCGTATTAAATGCTGAAGCAGGCTTGAGGGGCTGAGTTGGCTATTCCTGATTCTAGTTCTTATGTTCAGATTGTTGTCAGAACTTTTTGAATTCTGTTGAATCCTGAATGCCAGGAAGTCCCAGAACAGGAAATAGTGTGTTGTTCTCCACAAATAATGTGGCCAGCATTTGGCATCACCAGTGAGCAGTGAATACATTAGTCTAAACTTGAAAGAGGTATAAGCAAATCTCTGAAAGGTGTGTTGAGATATTGAATAGTGAGAATGGGTGAGGTAAAGGACAGATGTTGCACCTTCCATAATTGGAAGGAGGGGTGGTTACGAGTGATAGAGGAGTGGAACAGTGTGGTGCAGAGGAAACGGTCGCCATGGAATACTGACAAGGGAGAGAAATGGAAGATGTATTTGGTTGCAGCATCATGCTGGAGACGACAAAATTGGCAAAGAATGATCTTTTCATGGCTGGTGGGCTGGAAGGTATGGGAAAGGTGAAGGGGCGAAGGCAGAAGTGCAGGAAGTGGGTTGGACACAAATGAGCACAGTGGGCCAGAATCCTGTGTTGAGGAAAAAGGAAGAATTGTCAAACAGCCTGTGGAAGATGGCATCTTTTGGAACAGATGTGACAGAGATGGAGAACTTGGGAGAATGGAATGAAATGTAGTCAAGGTAACTGTCGGAAGCTCCGGGTTTGTGAAGAATATTAACGTGCAACTTTTCCCCAGGAATCAACACAGAAGTTAAAGAAGGGAAGGGATAGCTAAGAGAGAGACCAGGTGAAAAATTGGAACCAAAATTGATTAATGCTTCTAATTCTAGATAAAAGCAGGTAGCAACACTGAAAATGTGATGTGACACCGAGCCGAATAAGGATTTAAACAAGAAATGTTCCACATACACCCCTTTTCTAAAAAAAAAAAGGGCATAATTGAGACCCATAACAGCACCTTTTACCTGGGGACACTGAGAGGAGTTAAAGGAGAAATTGTTCAAAGTGTGAACAAATTCTGCATTCACAGACACACATTACATTTGATGGTTGATGGGCTCCAGTGGTTTTAGCATCCCAAGTGCGTTCGCTTGCCACTTCTGAAGATGCCTATTTCTTGGTTTTTCCTTCAGGATACCACTGGCCAAGTCACAGCCGATTACCACCGTGAGCAGCTCTGGTTAGCGAAGGAGAGTCAGATTATCTGTCTGCAGGCACGAGCTCGAGGTTACCTTGTAAGAAAAGCTTACAAAGAACGATTGAACTACCTCCACAAACAGGAACCTTCTGTCATCCGATTACAGGTGTGCTTGGAAATTCCTATTCCTGGGCATCTTAAGATAGATGTAGAAAAATAAACTACTATAACATGAGATAGTAAGAACTGCTGATGCTAGAGTCAGAGATAACAGTGTGGAGCTGGAGGAACACAGCAGGCCGAGCAGGAAAGCTGATGTTTCGGGCCTAGACCCTTCTTCAGAAATACTCCTGACCCGAAATGTCAGCTTTCCGACTATAACGTTACTCTGATTCATTTCTTAAAGTAACTGTTCACACATGCTGAATTATTATAGCATTTCTTTGACAATAGAGCATTTCTTTCATTTTCATTTTAAAGTCCAATATTCTCAAGCAACCCATTAGGAATTTTCCCAGGGGTGTATTCATTGGACAGATTTGTAACTGGGGGAGGGAAATTGACTAGTTTGTGGGAGAAACTGGTTTAATCATCTTGATGCTTTGTTTTGTGTAGTCTTCTTGGAAAGGATATAAACAAAGAAAGGCTTACAAGGACAGGCTAATGGTCCTGCAAAACAATGTTGCAGCTGTTGTTAAGGTAATTTTACACTTGGTATAATTTTGATTTCTTTATGCCATGTGACAATTCTAAAGACAGTCATATTTGTTATAAATCAGTAAATCATGGAAGCCGCCTGTAACTGCTATGTAATTTGAGGAGCGGACAGTTATCTATTGACCATATTCTTAAGAGGCCCTTTGGTACCTGTTTCAATAGATCCAGTCTTTTGTGAAGATGTGGAAGACCAGAAAAGCATATCGTGCAAGATGCCAGTACTTCAAAGATCATGTGAGTTATGTCCACCTTTGGTAGCTTAATCAGATGTGGCAGGTAAATGTTTTTTTCATGATGTTCACCAGTCTGACCTGCAAATGAGGATTCAATTTTGTGAAACAGTCTTCGTTTGCTCTCGTTCTAATTGTCACTTCATGAAATTAAATCCTGAACTGGACCACCTTCACTTTACAGTAAACTTCCCTGTGTTTCCTCTATGGTGCGCAGTATTTGGTTGCCCTGTACCTAGCCTGGCTGGGAGGAAACTTTCAATGCCCTTAAGGCTCTCAAGGAACCTGCCTGCACGATGGAGCTGGGTAGCTCCAGCTGGCATGGAACCCGTTCAGGCCAAAATGGCTAGTGCCGGGAATGGGATTGGTAAAATGACTGGTATTTTCAGACCTTGAATTTGCCAGGCTGCTGGTAGCGCCGGAACATCCTTCCCCCGAGCGGATACGAGTGTTCCACCAACACCCCAGCCTTACGAGAGTCAAAGAAATTCCTGTTTTCTCAAAGGTCACGTGGTGGAATTGATTATCCTGAAGCAAGAACACTGGTTGAACGGGAAATCGAAAGCCATGAAAATGAGGCCCGAAGCTGATGCTTCCCATAATGGGGGGGATGTTCTTACTGTTCACAATAATAACAAAATTAGAACAGAAGTTTTAATATATTTAATGAATTAATAATGTTAAACTTGAATCTGAAGAAGTTGTTTTTCTGCGTTCCTTAGTTTAAAACTGAGTACTTGCAATTAAATTATATTTTTGCTTCTCTCAGACAAAAGAAATAATTAAAATCCAGGCATTCCTAAGAGCAAATAAAGCTAAAGATGACTACAAAACCCTGAGTGAGTGTTTCAATATTTCATGTACTGTAATTGAGATTCTTCTTCAAATTTGTGAATCCCAATCTCAGCTGTAATTTGTTTCACTATCTTCCTGTTGTTTTTTTCTCTTTAGGATCTCATTTGTCAGGCCATTTATGAGCTTGTGGATGAGATTGGGCTGGTACCCATGCTTGGGCTAATCCTCTGCCAGTATGAATTTATAACTCCTTGCAGAATTCTCTGTTTCTGCCCCATTTATTCCAATATGCAGAGAGCAAATGGACTGAAGGCTGCATCCGGAATTAATGTCTGACAGTTAGAGATTGGGATTCCATTTAGCTGAACTGCGAGTGACCCCAGACACTATTATAATTGTGCCAACTGCAATCAATCTCATTATGCATAGTGAAAGCAGAATTATTATAATGGGGCACTTATCTATATCAACAGTTCTGAGTTGTAATTCTTCAACTGAAGAGTTCAAAGGCTGAATTAGGAAATGGGCACTTTGGTCCGTTCTGATCAGTGCCTGTTTATTGCTGTTCAAATTATTTTTTGCTTGAAAAGTCTGATTTTATGAGCTGACTGAGTTTTAAAAAGAAGAGGTGACAGGTGTCCTTATTGTTCTTTTTAGCTTCTTCTTTCCTCCTTTCCTCATCCTTGACTCCCTCATTACTTCCTTGAGCTTAAATTACTTTTGAGTGTAAGAAAAACAGTCAGCAAATTCGTACTTTGAGGCTGTTCCATCCTTCCATTAGATCATGAATTTTCTTAATGAATGAATGAATTAACTTTATTGTCATATGTACTCACATGATTACAGCAAAAAGTTTAGCAGTCGCCACTTATGGAGCCATCTTGGGTGCAAAGATACCTAAGTATCTGCTCCTTAACTTCATTTGGCTGCCGTTGCTCCATGTAACTTTGATTTTTCTTTATTGCCAGAAGATTGTCTTGAAAGCTCCAAATATCCCAACATTCACAGCCTTTTAGGGTAAAGAATGATTGATTGCTGCTCCACAAATTAGGCACATGTTTTGAATATGTAAATGAATCAAATTGAAAAGATTGAGTTAGTATTACAAATTTTGTTTATCGAAAAACACGTTCAGTGGAATGATTTTTCTCAGGGATCTGCTAGGGGTTCTACAATAGTTTGAGAACAACAGGAGAAATGCTTGGAATAATCATACTTCAGAACTCTGTTAGGATTCTCTATTAATCTTGTCTAATTGCTTTTGCATGCAAAAGCTAATTAATGCATGGAACAAGAATAGAAATTAGGGAATCACCTAATCAATAGTCTGTCAGAAATTAACATGGTTAAACTGGCTAGTCGTTATGTATAGGTCTGGAAAAAAATGACTGCCCCTATCTGTCTGTTATCAATGAAGCCCCGAAAGTTAGTTTGAAAAGCTGTTGATGGGATGTTTGTTAGGAGTTGTGGAACTGATTGTGGGGAGCAACGTAGAATGAGACTTGGAAGATTAAGACGATTTACAAGAATGTTGTCGGAGCTTGAAAATTGCAGCATTGAGGTAAGATTGGATAGTCTGGAGTAGTTTTCCTTGAAACAGAAAAAGCCAAGGGGTGACTTAATCGATGCGTACAAAATAACGAGGGGCTTTGATGGAGTGGAAAGTGAAGATCTCATTCCCCATCAGAGGTCAGTTACAAAGGGATTGAGATTTCGGGTGATTAGTAGAAGGATTAGAGCGACTTAAAGAAAAGCATTTTCACCCAGAAGATGGTCAGTGCCTGGTTTAATGGTTGCGGTGGAAACTGACAACTCATTTAAAAGGATCCTTTATCTGCATTTGAAGTGCTGTGACCTGCTAGGACTAGATGCTGGTAAGCAAGATTGGAATGAGGAGGGGGCTGGTTTGCTCAGCTGCAACAGATATGATGAGCTGAATGACCACCCTTTTGCTGTAACTTATGGCTGGATGGAGAGAAGGTTTATGTAAAGGCTGTAGAAGCACTGGGAACGTGTACAATATAAGACTTGAGAAACCTGATGCACATATGGATGCTTTATGTGAAAATGAATTTTTACAGGACAGTTACATCCTGTTACTGTAATGAACCTCTGAAGAAGGTTAGAAAGGAAAAGTTACTAAAGGAAGCCATTGTAGTGAGCAATGCAGAGAAATTTCAAAAGGTAAGTTCATGCCAACACTGTTAGTTTGCGAAGTTGTGAATACATCAGGAATTGAGAAGAGAGACTTGCTTGTTTAAGGCAGCCATCCTGCTTGAACAGAGTTGAAATACAGTGTAGCTTCAGATAAAAAAGGAATGTAGTTGTAATAGAGGACAGTATAGTTAGGGGAATATATACAGTTCTCTGCTCACAAGAACACAAACCCTGAAGGCTATTATTCTCTGGTGCAGAGTTAGGGACTGCATCTCGTGGCTGGAGGGGAGCTTTGAGTGAGAGGAGAAGGATCCAGTTATTGTGGTGCATGTGGGTACTTATTACATAGCTAGGACTAAAAAAAGAGGTAAGATGAGCAGCCAGGGGTTAAATTAGAAAGCAGAACCTCAAGCCAGTAATCTCTAGATTACTACCTGAGCCACAAGCAAAATAGTAGAAGATAGATAAGGGCAGAGTTAAATTCCTGCTTCAGAAATTGTTGTGGGAGAAAAGGGTTTTGATTCATGGGATACTGACATCAGTACTAGGGAAAAGCAGAGCTGTACTGTCAGGGCAGCCATTACCTGAATAGCACTGCGATCAATGTCCTTGCAAGTCTCATTAGTAGGTCTGTAGAGAAGGCTTGCAAGTACATGGTTGTGGGACAATTCACAAGAGGAGAGGTTTGGAAAGTTAAAGAGAAAAAGGCCAGGCTAAAGTTCAGGATACCAATATGGATAATGATAACTAGAGTGTAACTGGAAATGCATATAAACTTCAGTGCACGAACAGTATAGTCAGAGTAGGGGAAAGTAAGGCTTTGAACTAACATGGGAAGGAGGGTTTGGGTGAAGTTTACCATTCTTGCCTTAGGATTTGATGGAGGATTGACTTCCTTAAAGTAAAGTGGTTGGTTAGGCAGAATCCTCCTGTTATTTGCTCAGCTGTTATATGGATAATTCAGCAATTATCAAAGATTTTTGAAAATGGATTCCTTGTATTGCAATGAGTCTGATTTTTTTTTGTAAAGTATTGTTTTAAAATAAATTACAATACAAATGTTGAGAGACTTAGGAGGGAAGAAAACTTCCTTAATTTCGTAGAAAATGATTGATGTAAATGTCTTTTATGGTATCCAGTGCCAGTTAAGATAATTTGTGGCATGTTTTCTGGCTAGAAGCTGGCTATGTTAGCAAATGGCATAACTTTAAAAACAAGTTAGTACAAACTGTTCTGAATGCATTAATTTAACTGGAACCAATCTTTTGTACAAGTACATTTAATTACCAAACAGCTCCCAGATTGCTGGGGTAAGAGTGGAGGAGTCAGAGTACTTGTTTTTATTACTTCTGACCGGAATTAACTGTATCATCATCACTCCTGAGTGCTCTCAATTGGATGATTGATAAATAACGGAATTAAAGGTGAAAAGTATAAATTCCTGAGGGGTGCAAGCATTCTTGTCTGCATGCAATATGTCTTCAACATCATCTAGGACTGGGCTAATAAATAACAAGTGACATTCCTACCTCAAGACTAACAGGAAATGATGACCAGCAGTTACAGAAACTGATCGCCATTGTTAATATCCCAGCACTCCCCACTGACCGGATGCTCACCTAGACAGACCTTAATGTTGTGGTAGCTAGAGTAGGTCGGAGGCCTCATACGTTATGTCAACTGACTCACCGGAGATTCTCTACCAAGTACAAGACAGGAATAGTGTTGGAAATATTCCCCACTTTCTCAAATGGGTATAGCTGCAACAACACTCATGAAGCTCAATGGTATCTGGGACAAAGTAGTCTGCTTGGCTGGCATTCCTTTCACAAAGATAAACACACCCACTCCCTTCACAAGTTGGTGCACGGTGTCAACAATAAAATCCTTTACAACAGCTCTTCAAAGCTTCTTTGGCAGCTCTCCTAACCCTGTGAATATCGGAACACCATCGCCTGCAATTTCCTCTCCATGGCACCTGTCACTCCTGACTCAGACATCAGTTGCCCATTTTAGAGTTAAGCTTAAATGACTCCACACTGACAACATAATATAGGTTAATGAGCTGTGGATTTATGAAATCCAGCAACTCTATGATCACTTCCTGGCACTAGCCTTTATTTTCAGATCATTTTAAACTGAGTTTAAATTCTCCAGCTGCCATGTTGAGATTTGTTCTCATTTCGTCTTGATTAGAAGTCCTATTTTCAGGATCATGAGTTTGGTATCATGGCTATTATGCCATCGAAGCTTTGTAAGTTGTGTGTTTATAGATATTTTCGAAGTGTAGTAAAACTTTAAATCAGTTACCTTACTGTGGTACAGTATTACTCATTGTGGTTTGAATGTGCAGTAGCCCTTTGAATTATTATATTTTTATTAAGAACTTCTGTGGTATGGTACAGAGCCAGATGAACCCAAAGGTTTTCCTGATTAAATCTAAATGAACTGATCTGAGCAGGTTATTTTTAAAGCTCCACAATTAGCCAGTATTTGTAGGCTAGACCCTTAGTGACCATCACTGGGGAGTATGTATATCAGTCAGGACAGCATCTCTTCAGTAGTACAGTAGCCCTGATGGAAGGTTTGTGCAGGAGTGTCCAGGGTAAATTGCTGCCTTCAAGGGAAAATGCAGAAGGAGGGGGGGGAAAATAAACTAATTTCTTTGCAATCATTACTTTGGTATGAAACCAACCTACTTTCTAGTTGTGTGTTCGTTTTTCCTCTCTAGTCAGTGCAGAGGAGCCCCCGCTGAATGTTGTACGTAAGTTTGTTCACCTGCTGGATCAGAGTGCCTTGGACTTTGAGGAAGAACTGGAAGTTACAAGAATAAGGGAGGAAGTTGTTACCAAAATCCGCTCTAATCAGCAGCTAGAGAAGGACCTCAACCTGATGGACATTAAGATTGGGCTTCTTGTGAAAAATAGGATAACATTACAGGTCTGTTTCTCTTGCCAATGGCAATTCTTTCATTCACTCCCAAACATACTCCGACTTGCCGCCTCCTCCTCTTCCTCCACTGACCCCACCCTAGCCTTGTTCACCCTCATGATTCCATCCCACTCAATCATCTCGTTATCCCATCTTCTCTCCTCTTTAACCTCTCTGCACTCCCATTTCCCTCTGTCTGAAAAGGTGATACTTTAATTACTGTTCTGTATAAGTTTGAAATCCTACAACGTAAGGGGCACCCATTGCCTCGGGAAGAAAATATTTATATTATTGTTTTGGAAGAGATAGAGATATTAATTCAACAGAATAGTAGGCAGCTTAGAAGCAGCAGCAGCAGTATAACCCAGTTTAGAGAAGAGTCCCATCTCAGAAAGCAAATTGAATCTAATGTTTTTCCCATTTCCCCAACAGGATGTGATTTCCCACAGCAAGAAAATGGATAAGAAGAACAAGGGCCAAGCTGTGGAAGTGATTTCGGGTGGGCAAGGGCTAAAATCACTCAGCAAAGAAAATAGGAAAAAACTGGAAGCATACCAACATCTCTTCTACCTGCTGCAGGTAGCAAACTCGAGCAATTGTTTTTGAAAAAGTAAATTATAACTTGGACAAACAGGAATTCCATTTGGCTGGTCTTTTAATGTTTATATTTCTGCATCAAGTGACTTGTTCCTTTGTGGGTGGAAAGGTCATTGTGGATTGTTTTGCAGTTACCACAGAAATGTGGCTCCATGCCATTTGTGGGCCCTGATGGTTTTCTTACCCAGTACCTCAACAAAAACAACTTGCTCAATGTTGATTTCTAAAAAATGGATTTTGTATTTCTGTTGTAATTGGTTGAGCATAAAATGGAGCCACTTCTTCACTATTATCACTTGTAGCTAATGCCAGCATGTGATCAGTTGTCTGAGGAATGGGGATTTGATTTTATTCCTTGACTGAGCGAATTTGGTTGGTTGGTGTGGTAAAGACTCAAGCATCTCTGTGCTGTTGTTCTACGACTGTAGTTGCCAGTTATTAACCTGGTGAACTGTGGAATCAGTCACATCAAACAAAATATAGTTACATTGCGTAGCTAATACTGCTTCCATTCTGTCTGACTGTCATGACATTGCTTCATAAATTTGCATCAGAGATAGTAGGAACTGCAGATGCTGGTAAATCCGAGACAACAAGGTGCAGGGCTGGATGAACACAGCAGGCCAAGCAGCATCATAGGAGCAGAGAGGCTGACGTTTTGGGCCTAGACCCTTCTGATGAAGGGTCTAGGCCCGAAA